AAAAAAAAAAGGTGGGGAATACATGAAGAAACGTAGTATTTCCTTCATGGAAGTTGTTGCTTTGGAAAACTTAACTTGTGTTTATCTTACCTGTGCTTTTCTTGTGCACTAGGAAAGCGGTGAAAACTATTTATTCAGCTACGTCTCCCCAGATCCGAAATTTTGACGAAATTACCGCATTTACTTCAATATAAGCCCCTCTCTAATATAAAATCCTTATATATTTTAAGGTAAATTTTAAGAAATAAAAATGTAAATATTTGGTAATTGTGTGGTCCTGATTAGAAATCACTTCTTTCTGATTAGAATGAGATATAAGCTTCCTAATTAAATACAGTAATTTACCATGCCAAAGAAAGAAAACTTAGTAAAAAATGAGTGCTATATTATTATCTGTTTGTTTCAAATATACCAGTAACCAGAATTGTGAATACAGACCTCAACGCTGTGCTCGATGTGGCTATTGTAATTACAATAATACAGTTTATATACAGCAGTAATACAGTTTATATTGTTGTGTAAAGATTTGTAATGGATTGAATACGCACAGAGCCGATGATAGCTTAATAAATTTTGTTTTCCCAAAAGAAACACTGAACAGTTTTGGAACTTTCCACAAAAGCACTCGTACAGCTGTTCTCAGTACCGCAGAACACAATCGATAGTTATACTTCAGTCTCCTAAGAACGTTAAATACAACGCAATGGAAAGGCATCCAAAGAGAGAAGCTCTCTCGGAGATTTCAATACTCCAAAGTCAGCTCTGAACTAAAAAATGAGAACTGATGCTCTGTTCGGTCTTATATAGTTTTAAAGCTTTCTTCCGGCCACAGAGAAACTTCCATTTAACGAAATTAGTGGAAGGTATATACGGTGAAAGTTACATTTAAGGGCCGGATACAATTACAGTTACGTTTAGGGATCAATTAGTTATTCAATTACGATAGCAATTAAAGTTATAGAGGGACCGGACCAAAATGTCACCAAGTTTGGAGGATTTTGGCGATTTCTCGCCACATTTGGCGACAAATATTAGTCGCAAAAACCATCGCCAACTCACCGATATCTCGCCAGTTTAACGAGATAGGCATTTCCCTGAATGTTAAATAGGCTTACCCCTGTAACCTTATTTTTCTGGCAGCGCTTCGTTTTTTCAAGCAATTCATGTTTCTTTATACAAAAGATACTGCAGTTTCGCATATGATTTCACTAAAATCATTTACATATATACAGAGTTCTTAACAATATGTACGATAACTTATCAGTTTGGTTTAGTATTTAAATAGCGAAATTATGCTACATAATTCGATTATTAAACACCTTTCTCTCATTCTGCGATCTCATTTATCCAATACTCGTTTATAAGACAATGTAAGTGTTCGGTTACGGTATCGATTTAGCCAAAAGTGGACTGAAACATGTTATAAGAAAAGAATGTAAATAAATAATGCTGTAGTTTTCTTCTTGGATTTCATTTTGGGTTAATATGTTTTTGGAAGCAGAAAACTCTACACGTTCACTGCGCCCTGTCCAGACATCGAACCCCTTTACAAATCGAATTATCTGCTGGATATAGCAGTTAGAAGCGCTTATAAAATTGCTTTAGACACTTTAAGGTCATCCCTCCCCCCCACAAAAAAAAAAACGTGCACCATAAACGTGAGAATGACTGCGGTGGAAAAGCGTTCGGATTCCATGAAAACATCTACTAATACTAAGTTTGCTTTTTTTTTTTTTTTTGCCTGATTTGTAATTTTATATTGGCCTGTTGTTCTCTTTCAGTGAGAGATGCCCTCGGAGCATTAACAGCATGGATCAAATAATTCCTAGGAACGCTGCGAACAGTTCTTAAATGGTGTGGTGTGGTGTATTTACGGCAAAGCACACTAGGGCTATCTGCCTAAGGGGAGGGATGCCTTTCGTGGAGGACTTTCTAAGGGAAACTGGCTCGTATACACGTTACACATGGGGAAAACCACGAAAACACCCATGCAGCCAGCCCGTTCGCGGGATTCGAACCTCGGACCGAACTACCAGCGTTCAGCGACTTTACCGCTCGGCCGCTGGTGGGCCCAGTTCTTAAATGACATTTAGCCTTAAAGACATTGTGAACTACCTGATAAACAAGTTATCACCCTTTCCTAATTAAAATACCGTGAATGTACCTACGTACATGTTTCTGGTTATATTTGTAACAAGTTAGGTAAATTCCATTGCTATTTTAAAAGGCATTTTTTATCATATAATGTTGTCATTCGGTTAATATGTAATTTATAACCTGTCCTTCCAAACTATGTTAAGAAAATATGTCAGGGTTCGTAGAATTAAAAATCTGATATCTTTCAATGTTAAGCTCATTTCCAACTACGAAATATAATAAACAAGCTTCAAAATTTTAATTTTTTTTTTCACAAAAATATTATTTTTATTGAATCAGTTTTTGTTGTAAGCAGATAACTGCATTGTTTGAAGAATAAAATAATTTGATGACTTTTGTGACATAATTTAATTCTGTGAAATAATTGGTTTATTTTTTAAAGTGACTAGCCATCAATGTGTTTAAATGATGAATTGAAAAAATAAATTTTCATAAATTTTATTTAAAAAATTCAGTCGTAAAAGATTTAAATTTTGAATAAGGGAAATAACTTGGGGCATAAAATGACGCAGACGAAATTTATAATGCTTTATATATAATACAAAAGTTACGTTTAGTTATCTGGTTTTCTGTCTTAATTTAAATCTTTAAAATAAAAATACATTAATAAAGAAAATTATGTTAATAAGATGCATGTTGATAGAAATTTCGTAATTAATACTTGTTATTAATATAATGTAAACAAATGTATGCATTATTCATTCGATCCCAATGATGTGTACTGTATCTTCATTGGTTGCTGAAAGATGGCAGCACTACCTTCTTAAAGGAGCTGTCTCGAGCTTTTCTGTAATAAATACATTTCAAAATGTAAGAAAAATAAGTGTTTAACAATAATCTACTATCTATAACTATCATAAATTCTATGTATTCGTTTAGCTTTCTTTATTTGTATAAATAAACATAGTTTTTTGTGGGTTTTGTCAGAGTTTAAATTGAGCCGGAGCCCGGCTCCAGTACTTTTTAGTTTTTGTGATAATTATAATTCTAGCCGGAGCGCACTGGAACCCTAAATAAGAAGGCGCGTCTTTTATGTAACTGAGCAATAATTTCAGTAGAAATTTGATCTCGAAAATTTTATTTTTTGCAATAAAATTATATTACAAATCGCTTATTAAATTTTAATTTATTTCTTTATATTTTATTTTTAATTTTATTATTTAACTATTTTTAATAATAATTAATTTATTTTTAATTATTTAATATTCAATAAATATATTAATTAAATAGTGATTAATTAATTTGGTAATAACTAAAATATTTAATTTTTTAAATTATGAATGATTTTAAATAGTCCATTTATTTATTTTATTTACTTACTTTTGTTCCTCTTTGCTGACGGTCTTTTCCGTAGGGTTCCCGGCACTTCTAATTTCAGAAATTAAGCCTTTATTTATTTATTTATTTATTTATTTATTTATTTATTTATTTATTTATTTTATATATGTACTGTACAAGATTTAAGAAAAGGATGAAAAGGATTGTAATTTTTGTTTTAAAATATTTTTCAGTTGAGAGTACTTTATTAACACTTGCGTGAACAAAAGGAAACCACTCCCATACCTACTTTTAAAAAATAATGAATGTATTTATTATTTGTTTTTATCCTTAATTTTGTGTTACACAGGAAATTCACAGATTTAAAAATGTACGTTATTATACTTCTTGTTAGATTTTATGGTTAAGGTAAAGATAATATCAAATAAAAATACATATTAACGAAAGTTTCATTGCAATATTTACTAATGTATCGTTTTAGGATTTTTAATGTTAAAAAATAAGCGAAGAAAATGGATTAGGATGTTTTAAACACATTTTGTTTTAATACATAAAATTATTTTACACAAATATATTAAGAAAAAATTTCTTTATTAAATTTTTGAGCTTATTTTTCGAGTTTATTCAAGATTTTAAAATTCATATTTAAGTATTTATGGTTTGAAAACTAAATATTATTTCTAATTTGATTCCAGCCGCAAAGCCAATTAAATCGTTATATTCCATATTTTATTAGGAAAAAAAAAAGCATTAAGATTTTTCGTTTACATGCTCTTGAAGATATTTTGCTAACTAATTTTCCGAAATGATAAATCTAAAATAATAAGGGTAAAAAATGAAAATTAATATTTCTAATAATATGTTTTGCGCATACATAAAAATTTAAAGTTGTTTATGAACTTACATTGGTTATATTTTACTTACAAGCTCAAAACCATACGTTTCTACCAACACAAAATTGTAATTGTATTTTATAATGCGTCGAGAGAAGTTATGTATTCATTTCAGGTTGTAGTTTTTTTTTTTTTTTCATAACGTCTGCAATTGTTACATTTATATTACAATTCAAATATACAAAGAATTTGAAGGTATGAATATCTATTTTGTTGCAGGTATTAATTCATCCTAGCCATTCAGATAAATGGAGGAAAATGAATAAATCTAACTTTCAACTATTTTTCTTGCACATCTAGTTGGCATTTGAACAAAAAAATGTGGCAAGATAAATAATTGCATTATTTTATCATTTTATTTGATGAAAAAGATCTGGTAATGAAACCTCCCAAACAAATATTTTTAACATTTAATTTCGCACATATGCTTATTCGAAAATGCGGGATTAATTCTAATGTAAAGTTTTCTTAAAATCATGTTTTTCTTGCTATTAAATTCTAGAAAGAATTCTTAGTTTATAATATTATTGATTTACGTTGATATGAATTGAATTATTTTTAAGATCATGTGCATTAATACTTTTTATGTAAATTTATTAATTTTTTTAAAATAAAGTAAATATATTTAGAGGTATTTGTTATGCTTTAAATGACTGTTTTGTTTTTTTACAGACAAAGAAGCTCTGGTAGGACGTCTCAAAAATAACAGATGGCGCCACTGCAAATCGCAGCCAATTAGTTGGAAACCTTATTATTGTGTTCTTCTACAAGATGATCGAAGTTTCACTCATTTTCCAACAGAAGAAATGAGCGTAAGTCTATTAAAATTTTCGAATTTAAATGCATTTTTTTCTCTGGATAATCAACCAAATAATGTACTACGCAACTACACTGCGTATTTCAAAACGTCCGAGATTCAATGCTGTGTCCACGTCGTAAACTTCGGGCAACTTCACTATCTGGAAACGTCGTCAGGACTTACTTTAAACTTATGACTTACTTATTGAAATGTTAATTTGCGATCAGGATGTATTCATATTTTCCACCGTAACACCTCTGGGGTGACTGTCGTCGGTTTTCCCGCGACAGCCCCCAATATCTCCCTCTATCTCGTTAGGATTGCATTTCCAACCCTACATTGCTATGGGATTCTGTGTCGTCTAGATGTACCCTATTTCTCCTAGAATTTTATTCTTCTAGTTTTATTAAATCGTAACATCTTGTTGTGTGGTGCAGTATACTGTTAAGTATTCTCGCTGAATCGCTAGGTTTAGCGGAGGGATTCAAGCGGGTAGTACATCTTTAAACACCTTCACGGAACCTAGTTCAGAGTTGCCCCATCTAATATCGATAGAGAAATTGAGGCAGTGTCGGAAATATTCATCTCTTGTACTAGCAGAAAATAATTAAAAATACGGAAACTAAGAATTAATTGCTGTTCGTTATTGCGGAATTCTGGAATTGGCTGATGAGCATAATTGGATGTTAAAAAGAAAAAAAATATTCAGATAGGTAAACTCATGGAAAGTTGCTGTGAATGTTATATTTTGGTAGAGATTTTATTTATCTTCAGTCAAATGAATTCACATCACGTCGCGTGCTTATTTACGTGAAATGGAATAGTAATAGAACCCGAAGCAAAAGCTGTCTATCATCGATCGAAATGTATATTGTGTATTCTTTCTCTTTTTAACTAGGCTGAATTTGCCGAAACATTTTAGTTTAATTGTGTCTTGTCTGTGTATTCATTATTGTTCGGTCCGATATCGACGTTGATTAGTACAAATTGGCAAAGATAATTGATAAAGCTAATGATGATCATTATTGTGTATTTCGGATTCTTTTCGCTGACAGAAATGAGAATAACGTGCCCTCTTTTGTCTTATCTAAATGTTTTCGGGCAGTTCCCTTTGGTTTGCAGCTGCTGCTTCGTTACGCAGTCGTTGTTACGTCACAGTTACGTAGTGAATAATTAATTTTGATTTTTTAACATTTCTTCTAAAGAAATGGTAATTTTTTATTTCCTTAATTAATTGTTTTAGAGGTTCACAGTAAGCTCCCCAATTTTCTATTAAATCGAATAAGCGAGCGCGTAAAATTCCTCTCTCCTCGTCTTTTTTTTTTTTTTTTTTCTTGTCCCTTTTGTATCATATTAACCCAAAATCTGATGTCAATGCTAAACGCTGAACATCATAACTAAAAAACAACGAATAAGGGGGGGGGGAATGTGAAACGTTCCGGATTTCAGATTTTAGCGATCGCCTAAAATTGTTTGTTAAAGTTTTTTACGTTTGCTGAGCAAGGAGTCTACCAACACGATCCTGGAGGTCTCTTCTTCTACCCTCCTTTTTTTTTTTTTTTTTTAACTATTATTAAGTTTTTTTTTTTTTTTTTTTTTTTCGTTTTTACACCATATGCAATTTAAGAGCAAAATTCCAATAGCCTTTTTGGGCTAATAATAATTCAAGTAAAAAAATATCTAAAATAGGCAGCTCCCGCCTTAAAACTCATTCATCTCTTAATATCTTAGAAGTAACATCAAAACAGTTTGCAGAAGGCAAATCATAAAATAAGGTCACACTAATAAGGCTTGTAATATCCTATTGATTATATAATTGCAATCTTAAAATTCCTAGTTTTAAGTATGCAAAATTAACATCTTGCCCGCTTTCCATAATAACAGTCTTTAAACTTAGGATTCTATATAAAATCGCTTTACAAATCGTTGCCGCTCTCGGCTCCGAAACAAAGAATAAATATATTGAATATTTTGATATTTTCCAGTGTTTCCAGATACCGAATTAGTATTTTGGGGCGTCAGTTTGTGTAAATTTTGTGAATAGACATGCCCGAGTAGTAAAAAAAAAAATCTGATGTGTACACCACATGACATCCTTGTACGGAATATTAAATTATACGCATTTTTTCTTGCATCTTATTTAAACTTATTAGATTGAATTAAACCTACTTCGCCGACAGCGCATAAACCACAATAGAATAAATGCATTCTTTAAAATTCACTTTGTTTACTATAGCGACACTCTGGTGCTAGGTTTACTTAACAGTATTATATTTCCTTCATATTATAACTCAGAATGCACAAATTGTATATCATTTAAATAATTATCTAATCGTTGCCACATGTTCTATTCAAATACTATAATAAAGCTAGAACTATGTATAAAAAAAATTAAGCGAACAAAACAAAAAAAAAAAAAAAACAGTTTTTCACAGACGATTGAGTATTTCTCATTGAATTAATTCAGTTCTCACTTCGCGAGAAGGCAAAAATACATAAAACTCAAAATATCTATATTAAAAAAAAATTACGAAGTAAATCTTAAACGCTTATTTCCCCTCGAAAAAATTTCAGAAAGGATTAAGCATGATTTAATTCGCAATAATAAATGAAGGCGTTATCTTTTGTTGTTGCGAAAGCTAAGTCTCTCTAGATTGGCAACAAAATCCGCTACTAATGCTGGTGTTTCAAATGTAAAAGAATCAATGGCCGCCATGTTAAAAAAAATTATTAGGCTTAACGGCACTTAAACAACTTAAAAATTTTAAATTGTTGATATTTTCTAAAATATTTGCATACAGATTTATTAAAGGCATAAAAAGCCTCAAACTGGAAGATAAGAACAACATAACTCAATCAATCATTTCTAAAACAAAGCAAAAAATGTACAATTTACAAACATATAAGAGTAAAGAAACTGAGATCACCTGAGCCGAGTAACAGAGTGGATATATATATAAATATATTTATATACGTTTGGTGCGGCCGATTGCAACCAAAATACGAGGTGCACATCTACATGTTATAGCAGTCCTATATACAAAATTTCAACGTTCTGAGGCTACTCGTTTTTGAGTTATGCGAGATACGTACGTACGCACGTACGTACATACGTTCGTACAGACGCCACGAAAAATTCTCTTCAGAATTCATTTTAAATCAGGTTTTTAGTTTTTTTGGAGGAAAAGAGTCTTTTATTATTCTGTCCTTACGTACAGATATCGCGCAAAACATCGTTAAATTGCTTCGAAAGCATTCGAAAGCGGTCAAAGTGGATATTTTCGTTGAAATATGCTGTCTGAAGCTTTTCGCGATTACAGTACTCCCTTTTTACTTCGTACAAGGAAGTAAAAAAGAATAAAAGATTTTGAAGCTTTTTTACAACTCCAAGCAAAGACAATTTTTACAGGTGAAGCAAATTCGGATCTTCATCAGTTGCATCCCAAATATAATTTGTGTAGAGAATGTCAAAAATAAGTATAGCAACACTTTATAAACGTAAGCATTGATTAGATGAGTGCGTCCACGCCACATACATTGTTTTTTCTCTTTTCATTTTCTAATTTATATTAGAAAAGGCGAAGAAAAAATTTCTCCATGACTCAGCTGTGGTTTTACTTCCCAAGTTGTGTTTTTGGTGAATGAAGATTAGCTATAGCATAGTGTTTGCGCATATTGATCGTAGCATCTTTGGGGCGTGGTACGAATTGAGCTTTTTTTTTTTTTTTTCCAACAACAGAGCAACTAAATTTTATTTACAAGCTTACATGAAGGTTTTCAATATGCAGATATTACAAATTTAGCTTGAAATTCCCCATGAACTTTTCAATGAATCTGAAAACGAAAGTTAGTTCCTCCGAGCTTCCAAAATACACTGCTCGTTGTTCTACCTCGAAACATCTACGCGTACAATCTGCTGTTGGTAGACTGCGTAACTGAATTTACTACTTGTAATATAGCAGAGGTGCGCGCTGCACGACAATATGTTAACTTAAATACCAGCCACTTAGCTTTGAAAACTTAGCTTTCCTCCATAGGGCCACTTTTCCTAAGGAAGATAACCGTCGAATAATAAATAACCATACCGTTTACTATAATAACCTAACCTGATCTAAGTCAACTTAGAAATAAGATTTATGTTTTAAGGACTATATTTGATTTAAAATAATATCATTTCGGATCAGTATGTTGCCACATTATTTTTCTAAAAAATGAAATAAAACATGTAAAAATTATCTAAAACTTTGTAAGTGTCACAGGTGCTGGTAGAAGCTAGGGTAGGCGCATTTGTAGTGCCACAGGTATAACTAACTGTTAAACTTCAACTCCTGTTTTAATGGAGTACAACTCGCGAGAGGGGGCCCGCACAAGAGTCGGCCACACCTCTCTTCCTACCATTAGCCTTCGATAGGATTCCTGCTGGCGTGTATTTTGAGTGACCCTTGCCGCATAGGCACTATACGCTTACGAACGTCCATGTCTACTCCGGGTTTCGAACCCGGGTACGGAAGTCAGTATCACTAACAACCAAGCACAAGCTTCTTGCCGTAATGGTTTCAGAACCTGAAACATAACAGGGTTACTCGGCAAGAAGTTAAATGCTGAAATAGATGATAGTGCCAGAAAACATGCCTCGTGTGGGAAATTACTCGAAGTTGAATTCATTTTTCTACATTTGCATTTAGTATTGGTATTAGTAGTAACAATGTTTATGTATTTATATATCTTGAATATTGTATATATCTAGTATTTGTATTACATGGTAACCATTGCATCTTCTGCGTAATATGCACATCCTGCACTTATATTTAGTATTTTGAAATTCAGAGGCTGCGCCCGTGTAATTTCGGGCCGTGTGGTCAAGACGGCTGAATATTGGTAGCTGGATTGAGGTTCGAACCCAGGCTAGTAGACTGACTTCGTGAATGTTTTTCGTGACTTTTCTTATATGTAAAGTGAAGACGAACCGGTTTCCCTTATGAATTCCTCCACGAAGGCATCCGTCTCCAAGCA